TTAAAAATTTATCATTGTCATCATCATCATAAAAATACAATTTATTTAACCAAATAGTAATGGATGTTACCTATATGTTCTTAATCAGTAGCTAATTTTTTTTCTTTTTTTCATTGAATTCTTGAGTTTTACAAAGTTAATCTTCCGTTGGGGTGACCTCATGGTAGTCTTTTTAAAAAAAAAAACATTTATTTTGTGTGTGTAGGTACACTTACCATAGCCTATGTGTGGAGGTCAGAGGACACTTTTCGGGAGTCAGTTCTCTCCTTCCACCATGTGAGTCCCAGGATGGAGCTCAGGTCTTCAGATTTGCCAGCAAGTCCCTTTACCCACTGAACCATCTTACCAGCAGACCTCACGAATTTTTAAGAAAAGTTTTCTTATTGAATTATTGAAAATTTCATAAATATATTTTGATCCTATTTCAATCCCCTCCCCTATCTGCACCCCCTAACTACCCCCACCAATTTCATGTACTCTATTATAATGTATATATATGTATATATGCCTATAGAGTCAAACTTGTGTCCCCAAATGCCCTTCAGTGTGGGTCCATCCACTGGAGCCTGGTTAACCTACCAAGAGTCACACCCTTAGAAGAGACTGATTCTCCAGTTCTCAGCAACCACTGGTTGCCAATAGTTCCTCAGGTTAGCGTTTCTTCCCTACGTCCCCACATCTGTGCTAGGATTTTTTTCTGGCTTGAGCTTAGGTGGGACTTTTCTGAGCTGTCACCATGGCTGTGAGTTCATGTGAACAACTTCCCAGCTGTTCGAAAAACTGTTTCCTTGTGGTCATCCACTACCTCTGGCCCTTACAAATTTTCGCCCCCTCTTCCACAATGATCCCTGAGCCTTGAGAGGCAGAAGTTTGATATAGGTCAGACTTCATCAATTTTTAATTGCAGTTCAAGGGTACAGTCCATTGTGGGGCTACAAGGGAAATTGGGGTTCTATATTGGGGTTCTTAGTCTCATTAATAAAATAGTTTAAAGAATGGACTCAAATGAAGCTTAAGAACAATTTTATTAGAGTTAACAACAACAACAACAACAACAACAACAACAACAACCACCCAGGGCAGCAAGCTATAAATCTCAGCAGCTGCCCTGAGGAGGAAAATGGAGTAGAGAAGAAGAAAAAAAGCCAGACCCCTGGTGGACTGGCTGTCCCAAGGAAGAGAGGGGTGTTTAGAGAAAGAGTAAGGAAGCCCCAAATGTTGGGAAAACCCAAAGTATTAGGGAAAGCATGCTTAGAAAAGAGACAGAAAGAAAAAAGTTTAGGCTGCATGCCTGGGCTACTGGGCTAGGGGCAGAGAACCTAGGAAAGAAAAGTGCAGTGTCTCATTATAGAACTTGGGGCTGGAGAGATGGCTCGGCAGTTAAGAGCACTGGCTGTCCTTGCAGTAGACCCAGGTTCAAATCCCAGCACCCAGACGGCAGCTAACAACCATCTGTAAGTCCAGTTCCAGGGGATCCAATGCCCTCTTCTCTCCTCCATAGGCACTGCACAACATGGTGCTGTAACACTCATACACATAAAAAATAAAATTTTTTAAAAAGAAGTATTCCACCTAACTCTTCAGCATGGCTGAGGTGAGCCCACCTTCTGAGGGTTGGCCCCTGGATCAGGTGATTGATCCAGTCAACTGGAATATTAGGTCTCCACCCAGACCAGAGATGCTAATCTCTTGATAAAGAGTATTCTCTTAAGAGGTCTTTCCACTGTAACTGTGGTGGGGAAATCATACCGTATTCACAATCAGAAAGCAGAGTGAGCAAGGCATCCACTGCAGTTCTAGTTGGTTCATTAGCCTTGTAGAAGGTTCGTGTAAGGTACAGTCCTTTCCTGGAACTCTTGTTCACAGCCTTAATGACTCTTCTAGTAAATCTCTTACTCAAAGGGATAATCTGTCTGTCTTGGTGTCTCCCTTGAACACCAAACTAGAAACCTTTCAGTGACAAATGTGTTTTCTTCCTCTACCCACGATACCCGGCCCTATGCATTGCGAGGAGGTTGTAAGAGCGAATGAATGAATGAGTGAATTAATGAATGAGTTAAGAGACATTAGAAGTTTGAAATGAGCAAAGCTAAAACTCCTTTGGTTTAGGATTTGGGAGTTCAAGGTGTTTAAGGCTAGGGCCATGTAAGCTGAAGGATTTTTTTTTAATGCAGTGGCCCAAACAGGCAGAGAGAGCACACATAATCATGGGGTCCAGCTGAGGCCCCCCATAATCCAGAAGAGCAGGTGGCACAGCTACTGGATGTTAGAGCAGATCCTTCTGATTCTATGCTTTGGGGACTAAGGGATGGGTGGAGTCTTGGGTCAAATGCTGGGTCATTTCAACTGGAACCGGGAGGCTGTAGAGGCGAGATATGGCTGGAGGGAGGAAGTTGAGGGGGCATGCCTGTGTACTCTGATGCACACAGAAGAAGAGAGGCAGGGGCTCTGGGGGAGGGGTATCCTGAGAGGAGGG